GTGTGTGTGTGTATGTGTGTGTGCGTGTGCGTGTATGCATGTATGTATGTATGTATATATGTGTGTGTTTGTGTAAAGCTCTATATAGCTTTATCTATAGTTGTGCGTATGCGTTTTCGGTAAACGATGCTGATCGTTGATGTGGATCTCTTCACACTTACCACCACGTAAATTCAGGATAAATAACGAACCGATAACCAGAAAACGCAAACTCCGAGCAGAAGCTATACATACTTTGCGGAATCTCAAATCTGTAGCACTCCCACATTCTCCGGGACGTTTGACACAACATCATCAATAGTCCAAGTATACTCTGAGCGAAATTCATTGATCCATTCCTGATTTTAGGTAGTGTCATTTCAATTTAGGTCAGCATGTGACTTGTTGCCAGACTGGTTGCAGGGAGATTCATTCGCCTGATTTGATCTCTGGTTTTAGGACACTGGCGTGTCGTGCTTACTTCGTGCAGGATTGGACCTCTAGAGTCTGGGGGGAAGTATGACTACCGACAGACTTCGGTATATGATCCGGAGACTCAAACCTAGCAATATCTTCGCACAAAACACTGTGCACGCTAATCGACCTTGTACGTGAACTGTACGTGTGTCGTACTGTCAACGCCAAGACTTTCAATCGAAAACTACACATGATTTTCCTCACTGTACGCACACAAGCTTCTGTGCGATACGACAAGAAACAAGTTCAGTATGCACAATCTAATAAACCACTTATAACTGCAAGCATGTAGTAGTACAAACAAGGGCAAATCCTATTAATACCATTCATACGTAAATTAACAGAGGCAACTCACATGCTACCAAACAAAGTATATCACACGCATGCTGTACACACCATTCTCCGGGCCTTGCGCAAAAAAATCCGTTAGACGTCGAAGCAATCAGCGTATCGTCGGCTTTGTATAGATATAGGACTGATACCAAGCTGCCTAGAGACATCAAGGTTCCGAATATGTAGAAGTGTGTGAAAAACCGCTTGTCCACCTCGAATAGACCTTCCCACCACCACGCTTGTTCTCCAAGTGAGATAGTTTTGGCTTGCTGTTTGAGTTGCGAAATAGGACCATTCAAGCTGTTTTGTGACCCCTCTTCGTTGTGTTTAACTTGTACATCTTGTTCATGTGTTGCATAGTGACTTAATGTTTTGGTTGTGTCTGGCGTCTCACCCTTGTGTTTGCGCCTGTGTTTGTGTTGCTGTACCGTGCCACTCGAGGCGGGTTCTCTGGTCTTACCCCAGGATGACAAGTCCTGTAGGAATAGATACAATTGTGAACGGGGGGTTTCTGCGTTAACTTCTTCCCGCCTCTCATTGCACGCATCAGAAGTGTCAGAGTCAAATCCCATTTCCTTGCTCGGTGTTGTATTCGGTGATACGTCGCGCGTCAAGGCCGACTGTGCATGCCGTGCTGTGATACTATCAGCTTCCGCGATGGATGCCAGATAATAGCTGACAGTTAAGGTCACGGTTGTCAAGGCAACCCACACACTCCGCACTAATAAGACTATTATGCCGCGAGGAATGCTGATCGTATCCATATCTCAATTATAACCAAATCTGTGGCAATGCGCGGGGCGCAGGTCTATAATAAATAGCAAATTATCTGCTGTCAAATAAAATGCATACATTCGTTTATGTAAAATTTGACCATGACCAACTGATTGCACTACCAGGGTTCAACACTGCATATTTATATTTTTCTTTTAGTGCCTTGGCAAACGTGTGGCAACAGACGATAGCGGATAACATCACTATATATTTGAGTATATTTCTTCGCTGCAAACTACATAGAAACTAGCAGCAGGTATGCGTTGAGTCGCTCAAGTGGTAGTATCCGCCTACCGCTAAAAGCTATAAAATATGACGAAAAGTACAGTTGTGCACTTGCAACAATTAAAGGCGCATAGGCAAATACGTGTAGACAACTATGCTAAATTTAAGTGGTAAACATCCGCTATTTAATATCTCTTGGATGTCGATTGATCAAAAATGTATTGCCTCTCGTTGACAGGCTGGATATATCTCGAACATTTATTAAACTAGAATCTTTTTAACGGTGAGCTGAAATAACTTTCTTGTTTGCGAGTAGCTGCGGTTTACATTATCACGATTGCGATACTTATATGCTTAAAGCAAGTATCTCCGGCTTATAAACCGTTCCCGCTTTGTTCAAACTATCACGGTACTTTGTATTTAACACCCACGTCCTTGGCATATTTACTAAACTTCTCACGAGGAAAGCTCGATACATTGTGCTGATGAGTGATTGGAATAATCAGAACAAACGTGAAAACATACGTAGGGAACGCGAAAAAAAATATGCCGATCGCGACTCTAGCAACTGCGATATGGCTGCCTACAACTATGGCGAAAGCGCAATCACTGATAAAAAAACATATGCATAGTACTGTCTACACTACTAAACCTGTGCCACATGAGGTCTTCTCCGTACAATCTATTTCGGCAATTTATCATATTGGATTGTGTGTGTTATGTCATATATCCGATAATTGCAATTGACAGTCGTAGCCAATGCATGTTTGATATTGTGCGGCTAAGAGAGTGGAACCAGCAGACGTATTAGTTAAAACCACTACCATTTGCATGCTATATTCATGCTAAGTATGTGATACTTATACACATATGCTTTGATGACTCAAATATATTACATCATTGTTCAACGACTATAAAGATACCAATTGTGTATTCTGGATTGTAATATGTGTACTTATTGATATCTAGGAAGGCATAAATGATAATCAATCATCCTACATGATTGACTGGTATTGGCAAGTAACACTCAATGCCCATGCACGAGAGACTATTTATAGAATACAGCACTGTGATTGGTATAGTGAGACGGACTGTGTTATCCATGTATTCATTCTTCAAAAACATGCGAGCCTATATTCTATAACTGCAACTGAACATAAACATGAACTTGCACATGCGGTCCACGGGCAGATTGTTGATACAATACGGAAAGATTGCTAACTGATTTATAGGTGTAGTACAACTGTATGTACGATCACGCCGAGCGCTCATTTATTGACGTCACAATTGTGTAGATGAAGCTTTAGATTATTGCTTCCAGACATCGTTCTTGTGAGAATGAAATGTACATATG